CCGCACGTTAGCGACAGCAGCACCTCCATCCCCGCCCGCAAGCCTCAGCGTGGATCGGAGCTTCCCTCAAACTCCAGCTCCTGGATGCATGTCCTCAGCAGGCAGTTACGCAGCGTGTTTCAACGCCAGCTCCAGGCTGAGCCCTGGCGTGGCTTTCAGCAGCATAACCCAGACCTGAGCAGGAGCCTGCATGTAGTCCAGCCCCCCTCTTCTGGAAGGTTCTTTCACCACCGGCCGCTACAGGCAGGTTCCAGCTCCACCCGTGCCAGAGCTGAGCTGTCATTAATTTCAGCTGTTCGCGCAGACATTTCAGTCCTCCAGCAGACAGCCCCAAGCTACAGCCCCTCCCCAGCACCTGCTCTGGGGCCAGCAGGCAACCTGATTGCTCTCCTGGGGAAAGCATTAACAGCTTTCAGGGCCCAGGACAGCTGCCTCCCATGAGAATGCACAGGCATGGACAGTCTCTAAGCAGAGAAACACAAATAAACAAGATTTATTCCCACATTTTTAGTAGCGGTTCTTCACGCCTTGTCTTACCATCACCCCAGGCACCCATTTCAATCTCAGCCGGCTCTAGAGACACCCAGACACAGAGGGAAGTGCCAGCTAAGGGCTCTGCAAACAAAAATCACCATAGCTGTCCTCCAGAACAGGGCGTTAGAAGATCAAGGCAACAATTAACAGTTGTCCTTGAGAGCAGAGGCATCTTCTCACCCAGGGAGGGTTAGAATTTATAAACTGAATGCGTCCACCCACTGACTGCCTAGAGGAGCAATAAAAGTGCCCCAGAGGCTGAGCTGGGGGCAGAGGGCTCATTTCAGCAGCAAACTGAGCAGCATACCACTGAGGGTTTTGTTATGCTTTTAATTAACATTTGAAACACATAAGGCATATGGTAACATTAGACAGAAGAGCATTACACATAATAGTCATGTAAACAGCATTGGCACACTTGCTTTCTGTCCAACTTGGTTACACGCACAAAGCAGAATATATTTTTTTAAACAAGGATTTTCCGTGTGTCTGTAGGATGAGTATCACTCATATCACATATCTGCAAATCAACACGACTCGGACAGTACAGACCAGACCATATGTTGTAAGAGGCTCAGACTCTTAATGCATTTCACATCATGCTCATGTACTACTCGCCAGTCACACTTTGCCATCACCAGGGCTTAGCACACAAGAGTGGTTTTTTTACACCTATGATAGCAGCTGTAAGCGGGCCGGGATCCTACACCAATTAAAGCCTGAGGCCCACAGTGCTTCTTACTTCTCCCTGGTCAACCAATTCTAGTTTAATAGAGGTGTCCGAAAATGAAATGTACAGCTAAACTCCTTCCCCTGTCTCCAAGCACTTGGCAGGGGTCATGCTCCCCTGCACAAGCCGAGGCTGCTTCTGCTCCCTTCCCCTTCTGCAGTTAGCACGCAACACAAGTGAGCTCGAGAGAAAACAGAGTCAAAAAACATGACAAAAACCGCCTGGTGATAGCAAAGGAGTGGCGTTTTGTCCAAGACCAGTAGTGCCAGTCTGGGAAGGCGACTGCAGTAATGCCACCGGAGCGGCACTGGCACAGGCACCCCTGCGCTGAGCAGCCCCCCACGGCCCGGGGCCGCCTCTCCTCTGCTCACAAACTGCTTACGCTCTCCCCTGGGCCTCACGGCACAACCTTTGGGTCAGACAATCAGTAAAATGAACATTCAATTGCACTTCTGAGAGCTGGAATGGCACACGCAATTTAAGCACAGGAATCTCCCGTTTCCTCAGTAGCACGACTTTGCCCTAAACAGTTAAGCAACATTGAGCGGAATGATTTTTATCCTAGGGTTTTTGGGTTTTTTTGCTTTGGTCCTTAGTATACAAACCTGCTGGTTAACTTTATTGAGTTAAGACACTTGAAGTTGTTTTACATAGGTTCTATACTTATCGGCCCATAAAATGTTTGTCCAGAAAAATCAAAAAGTTAAAAAAAAAAAAAACAAACAAAAAACCAACACAAAACCAGAAACCAACCAACCACAACCACCTAGAGCAGAGCCTCCACCAGTGAGGCAGCGAAGGGCAAGGTTACATTTAATGTTGGTCTTTCTGTAGAAAACATTGTTGCTACCAAGGGACACAAAACAGCCTAAGCTCTAACAGATAGGAACTGCTTAGCACTCTTGCCCTGATAAGGGCTTCAGGAATTTGTAGGTAGAAGAACACAAGCAGCCACCCGAGGAGAGTCGGGAGCCGGGATTGTTTCCAGGGAGCCAAGGCTGGGGCAGCAGATAAAGCCTCTCCCGAGGACTGGCCGGAGCCAGGCAGCTGCCCCGGGGGAGACACGGGCTCCACCGTGGCTCTTCTGGACTGGGGAGCACAGGACCACCAGGACGGCCCTGGAAAGGCTGCAACACAGCGAAAGGGAGCGACTTACTCACGGTGAGTCAGACCACACCACCAGCGTTCACAAAACAGAGCTAGCAACAGGTTTTTGGCAGTACTTTGAAAGGCCAGAATGGAAAAGGCTCCAGTGACTTCCTAGTCCTTACAGGCATGTAGAAGAAGGCACTGAGATACTGTTTTCTGTGGCGTACCGCAAGGCAGCGTCAGAGGTGTCCTACGGGAAGCTGCAAGACTCCGCTTGCCGCCTCCGCACTGCGCCGGGAGGGACAGGCTGCGAGAGCCCCGCGACGCTGCCTGATCCAAGGCCATCCAAGTAAGGCACTGAGCACGCGCTTAGCTGAGAGTAAAGCAAGGAGAGGATGTTACCGTGAAACACAATTTGATAGTTTTCCCCTTTACAAGTGTGCAGAACCTGAGGATGTGCAGGGTTGTGTGCCGTTTGAGCACGCTGCTCTTTCATCAAGGTGAAGTCCAGTTTCTCAGAGGAACAGGTCCAGACTTCCCATTTCAGCAACTTAGACAGTCCTTCTGTTGTCAGACCTGGTAAAGCAGCATTAGACACTGTTGGATTTAATCTAAATTAGCATGACAGGGCAGGTTGAAAGGAGAAGCAGCAAGATTTTGGATTCAGAAAGGTTAAGAGTTGTGCTTGTGAGTTTCATCAGACCATGTTTATGAAGTTCACGTATCAAGTGCGAGAGATGGACCGACAAGGATCTGTGACGGGGCTCCAGCCCTCCTCTGACGTCGTAGAGAATGGGGTTGCTTTAATACTTCAAGTTAGCCAGGGCAAGTCCCCTAAGTGCTGTGCCTACGCATTTCTAAGAAGCAGCAGACCTAGGGACTGGGCCCAAGCACCTGAAATACAAGCTGCACCGATAGACAGGAGCCCCGCTGGAGGCTAGAGCTGGCCGAGGAAGAAGCCACGCTCCTCACCCACGCAGGAACCCCCAGCCCTGCGCAGAGCTTGGCTGCTGTCGAGCGGCGGAGGGGCTTCGCATATGGGGCCCTTCGCCCAGCACGCGCCTTCCCTCCTTGGGGTTTGGTTAAGCAGGACTCCTGGACTCCTAGTAGCAAGGTTTTGCTCCTGGAGCCAGAGCTCTTCCATGACGGGCAGCTCTTCTTGGTGCCCTCAGGTTTACCTTTTCAAATCCAAAATGAAGCCTAAAAGCCCGCAGCACCTACAATCCATGACAAAGCCTCAAAGCAAGCACAAAGAGCACCGCAGTCGCTCAGGGCTGACAACAGGGTCCAGCAGGAAGGGGGGGACACCACCCAGGACATCAAGTGCTCACAGAACTGGGCTTTGACCTCTGCACAGCTACGTTTCCAAATGCCCGGAAGAAAGAAAAGAGGAAGAGAAACTGAGTTCTGGTCTGGGAGGAGCACCCCAGGCAGTTCCCAAACCCTCAGGTGCTGGAAGACAGCCCAAGGGTCCCAAGACTTGCAGTGTCAGGGGAAGAAGAGTCAAGCCCTACCGCAGCACTGAACCACGAGGTGAGAGCTGGTTTGAGCGTCTATCTAACGAGCTGGCTAGAAGAGAATGGAAAGCACAATTTAAACTGCTCAAGATGCCCGAGGGCCAAGAGACTTGACACAGAGCTGGGCAGTTTACCGACTACACTGGTGACTTGGTGACAGCTTTACGGAGTGGCGTGCCACAGGAAGAGCCAGCCCAGGCTGCTGGGAAGCAGCTTACAGGACTGGTTCTTGCAAGCGACTTCCCAAACTGCAACACCTCCCCAGCACGCAGGGCACGGCACAAAGCAAGCATTAACAGGGGCTTATTTTGTTCCCATCTTGCTGAAGTCCGATTCAGCACTGCAGCCCTTGGAAATACAAACACGAGGGTGAAGTTTAGCCTTTAACAATACCAGCTTGGAGCCCAACATTAATAAAGCACGGAGCCAACATCAATCGTTCCAGTCATTTGAGACACAGTTGAGTCCTTATGGTCTCTAAAAAAAAAAATCAGACACAGTTTAGATCTCCCTATACAGTTTGGAATCAGAAAATGGACAAGATCAAGTTACCTAATTGAAACTTTTCTTCCGTATTGAGACACAGCCCAGCTCAGCCTGTCAGGTTATTTGCCGACTGCACAGAGAAGTGACTGCAAATTAAATGCAATACGCCATAGACTCCAAAATGCCAGGACAGTTATTTACAAGGCAGACAACATGACTTGTTACTATCTGGCCGGTGTTAGGAGGCCTAGGAAAGCAGAGGGGAAAGAGCGTGGTTAGTGTAAACAGAAGAGTAGCCGGTGCTAGAGTTAAACGAGGCCAGCTGTGCTTTTCCTCTGGCTGTTGAGGAAACATCCTAGGCTTGGCCCATTCTCCTGCCGAACAAGCTTCTCAGAGGTGACGGCGCAAATGCTTCAGCAGGGCTCAGTTTCTGTGGAGATATTTGGCAGTTGCTACAGTATGTTACACCGTGACTTTACAGTGACAGGCTATCCAGTTGTTAATCACCAACCGCCTGGAAGCTTCGGCACTGCCAGAGAAACATAAGCTTAGTTTGGAAATCCAGTAGAGAAAGAAGTGATTAGAAAAAAAATGTACAAATTAAACAGGCTTCAAAACAGAGAGCTAGGGCAGGAGGCATATCTGGCAAAGGGTCAGTCACAACGAGAGCATGCAAACCTCATCTGAACTTTAACCACGATGTTCTTGCACTGGTGAAGATGGAAGCTACTGATCTGTCCATTTCCAGGTCCCAAAGATCAGGGAGATAAACCATGAATTCACAATCTGCACACATCTCTTCTCCTTAGTTCTCTTCTTTTTTGGATTCTTCCTTGGGTGCTTCAGGAACCAGGATGACCTTTCCAACATTCTTCTTCTCTTGCATCTGCCTCATGGCATCTGCCACCTGGAAGCAACAGGAATCTCGTGAGACCCACGCCCCCCGGCAGCGCAGTCGTGCCCTTCCTGGGCCCCTCGGTCCACCCAGACTAGTCCGAGGGCCACGCAGCTTTCCCGGCAGTCCAAGCAAGTGCCAAGCATTCGGGCACCTCTGCACACATGCATTTTGGACAGAGCTGGGCAGCTACCCCAGCCTGCCCATAGGAAACCGTCCTCAAGGATTCATACAGACAACCGTAACATACACAAGGATGCTCTGCTAGGCAAACCGTGGAAGAACGAAGTGTGTGTGACCACAGCTTCCTTTCCAATCAGAGGGGAGCACTGCAGAAACGCAGCTAACAGCCAGAGGGACAATGCTTCTACCATCTACACAACCACAGCACAATACATGTGCAGATTTTTATTATTATTACTATTTTTAAGCAAAAGAGCACCTGGGCCAGGCCTGGAATCAACAGTTTTCCTGAAGCATTTGCATCAGACTAGTTCTTGGGTACTAACACCAACTGATCATTACCGAGTCCTTTGCTCCCCTGCAATAAGTCCTACCCCAGCAAAGGATTTCCAAGGGAAGAACCTGACTCTGCCTGGCCACATCGATGCAACAACACCGAGCATAGCAGAGCTGCTGAAAACCCTGCCGCTCTCTTCCAGCATCCTCATTCTGCTTCACTGCCTGGGCTCTTTTTCTCTCCTGGAAGGGCAGCAGCAACCTTCCCAGCTGTCTGCTTAATTGCAGCGTGCAGACTCGGGGCAGCCCCAGTCTGATGCATAACCCAGCCCCTCCACGGGCTGCTGCTGCCCACGGAGCACAGCTGAGCACCTGCCCTATTCCACAGGGACGCTGTCTGGCATTGCCCAGCTCTGTGCACTGGAGCAGAAGAGCCCAGCCACTTTACTCCCCCTTAAGATCTTTAAAGGAAAAAGGCACTGGGTGTCTCGAGAACAGATGGTTATTAAACATTTGCAACAGTTCAGCCCCCATGAACAAGGTGCTCGCGCTGATCCAGAGCTCTCTGTGCAGAAAACAATCGCCCGGTCATTTCTGGGTGCTGCCAGCCTATATGTTAGCTCAGACTCACCTGATCAAAGGGCCATACAGAGTCTATTTTGGGCTTGATTTTGCCTTGACTGTACAGGTTAACCAGCTTGGCTACAACACCTCCGATAAGCTCATGTTCTTCATCCATGTATCCGAGGTGGTAGCCACACACAGCCTTGTTATGGTGTAGCAGCTGCAAGGCATTGATGCTGAACTGGTTCCACCAGGTTTTAGCCATAGCCATGAGGTTCTTCTTCTGCCCAGTGAGCAAGTTGGCTACCCCTAAAAAGAAGGCAAGCCACAGATGAGCTGGAATCGACACAACACGAGAGGCAGCGGGCATCCCATGTAACCGCTCAGACAACAGGCAGGGTGACAGCCGCGCACGGTGACGGTGGCGAGAGCTGCATCACATCAGGATCTGCCCAGTCAACCTTCAATGGAAACAGGTACCTGCCTCAGCCTTGAGTTGTGCAGAATTTGGATTATCAGCCCCCACATATTGCAAAAATACAGAACAACTCCTCTCTCAGGAGGAGAGCAGCAGCGCAGCTAGACTGGAGTGCTGGCAGAGGCAAGAGAGGGTTACAAGTCACACCCAGCCAGGCTGGCAGGACAGCACTCCCCTTCTCCTACAGCCAGGCTTCTTCAGCGGAGCCACACGCTGCAATGGCTGGGACAACAGAAGCAGCACACTGGTGCAAGTGTCTGGAATCCCACTGGGGGTTGTGTGGGGGCTTTGTCTATAGGACAAAAATCACAGTGTTTCGGGGCTGGGGAATGGAGAGATAAGTATTCAGTAGCCTCAAACCTCATCACCCACACATCCTCTAGAAGAAAAGCCAGGCTCTATTAGTGCTGTGCATTAAGTCAGCCTGGACAAAGCAGCTGTGCCAGCGTTCCTCCGTGAGGACATTCCAGCTTCCCCTGCAGGCACTGGCTCGTACTCGAAGAGAGCTCTCACCATGGGAGGGAAGAGCCTTGGAGCCTGTGACCAGGGCTCTCGGCACAAATCTCGCTCCCCTCAGTGCCTCACCCAGGCGAAGCATCCTAAAGACCTTCGTGAAATAACAGAACTACGACACATGCAGCAGTCAGCAACAGCGATGCTCCCTCACAGCTGTGCGTCCAGGCACGGAGCAGCGCAGAGCATTCCCGTGCGGATCCGCACCCGCCCTGCCATCACATGGTCCCTCCTACGCAGGAGCTGGGGTTGGGGCACGCTGCTCACGCTTACCGTAAGTGATGAGTTTGCCCATTGGCTTCAACAGGTTAAATGCTTTGGACGTATCGGATCCTCCCAGGGGGTCCAGGACAATGTCAACACCTAGAGGGAATTGAAAGTAACTAGAAGTTTCTTTGCACTTGAAAGAAATGCGGGACAGGTGTAGGAGTCCTCCACCACACGGTACCTTTGGGAGAGATTTTCCGGACCTCCTCTGCATAATCCATCGTTCTGTAGTCAATGGGGTGAGCGACCCCGCTCTCCTTGAGTGACTCATGCTTGGAGGCAGATGCTGTGCCAAAAATGGTGACATTTTCTACAGTCTTGCACAGCTGGATGGCAGCAGTTCCCACACCACCTGAAAACCAGCAGTAAGAACGACTTAGAAGGAAACAGCCCCAGCAGTCAGAAAAGCCTCTGGATAGTAAATTATCCCCGCTTGTACCGATCGGACAGCTCTGGGAGGGTGTGGAATAAGGGCTTTGCCCGGGGCAGGCTGATGCCTGCGAGACACGCCGGGGGAGACCGACTCCAGCTTCTGGGAAATGGGTTCAGCATTTGCCGGTGCCCAGGTCAGCATGAAGCCTGCATCTCTGGCAGGCGACGTTTTGTCAGTCCGGCCCCGTTCCGATCACTTCCTCACCCGTGCCACCCATTCAGAAGCTGCTTTTTGAGGCCAAGTGTCTCAGCACGGGCTGGCAAGAACTATTTACCTGCAGCCATGTGGATGAGGACGCTCTGGTTGGGTCTCAGGTTTCCGAAGTCAAACAGGATCATGTAGGCAGTGATGTAGTTGACAAGGAGAGCAGCCGCTTCCTCGAAGCTCATCCCCTCAGGCATCAGGAAAGTCTGACTGGCTGGCACGTTCACGACTTCTTGCCAGAGCCCTGACCTAGCCAGGACCATTACCTTATCACCAACCTAAAAATCAGAGGACGAGGCGGTCTGAAACAAGCCCCAGGCTGGCAGAAGTCATCACGCCCTTGCCCTCCGTACGCCAGCGCCAGGTACACGTGTGCCGCTCTCCGTGCGGAGGTCTGCAGGGACTGCAGCACCCCGGGCTTGGGTGGGAGCCCGCAGCCTGGGCTCCACTCGCCGGGCAAAGCACAGTGCAGCACCTCTCGCCACGGACCTGGGCGCACGCCAGGAGCCTCAAGAGGGACTGCAGGCGCCCTGGGCTCTGGCTTGCGCCCAGCGTGCTGCCTGACTGCCAGCTGCCCAAACCAAGAGAGCCCCAACGAGCTAGGAGGGATGGGGGTCATGTCCTGCCCTCCCGGCCCAAGCTGGGAGCAGGAGTCTGAACACCGTGAAATATTACTGCTGCCCCTTGCAAGGATCATTCTGCCAACAGGCAGGAGGCTTGGGGCAATGCTTAACAGGATCAACCCTGGAAAAAGCATCTCCAACCTTAAGAAAACCTCCCAGGCCTAAGCCTCAGGCTTGAAGTCTGAGGCATCCCCCAAAATCTGCTCATATCCCACTGGGCAAGAAACATCTGCTCGCTGTGCAACGGGAAGGAGACGGCAAAACGCCGAGCGGTCGTATCAGCAAGCAGACAAGAGGCAGAGCCAAGGCAGGAGCAGAAAGGCTCCTTGGTGTGTGGGTTTGGCATTTATACTTGAATAAACCAAGATGTTTTCCTGGAGGGGAGGGAATCATCTTTGACACACTGGGATTTTTTTAAGACACTTTGTTTTGCTAGTTGTGCACCCAAGAATCATCTTAAAGCACCTTCATCGTGGCAGCCCGAAGACCCAAAGGTCTGGGATACGCAGAGCCAACTCCTCTGTGCCCCTGAGCTGCCAGAAATGCAGCAGCCGCGGGCTCGCGGGCCGCAAACCCGGCACCGAGAGCAACCAACCTGCTCGCGGCCACACCTCACCACCCTCCGACGGCTCTGGACAGCTCTGCAGCGGCCGGAGCCGCTTCCTCCCACGTTCGTGCAGTCGAAGAGGTCGGTCACAAACGCGTTCAGAAGCGGCACGGTCGTGCTTTAGCCCAACATCCTACTAGCGCTCGCCACGAACAAGGAAATTTTGTGCATGCAAAGACACCCGGGGGTCCCCAAGGAGCACGCCCGGCTCCAGCTTCTCCCCACGACCGCAGAGCCCA